TAGATTCAAACTGTCAATCCGTAATTGTTGATGTGTTTAATCAATTAGAGGCTACCGGAAGATGGTAACTACCGGGGATAACACGACCTAATTAAGTGAATGAAAATTTGGCTACTTGGTCTAGCCTATTTTTCTAATTCGTAAAGCGGCTGATTGTATTAAATCTAAGAAGCGTTTTCTAGACTGTACAAGAAGTCAGGTCTAATCGTAGAGCGTCTCGCGGTTAGATTAAAAATAAGTAAAAATTCGGGTAACGGACCGTGCCGTTACCTAGGGCTAGCAATTTCATAAGATATGGAGATTTGATACCAAAGTTGATTAGACGAGTCAGCCGAGGGTGTAGACGGAACCGTGAACTAGAAAATTCTCTTATTTATTTATTTTTATTTCGTTTGTTTAGATTTTATTTGTTTCATTAGAAATATAATTAGTTTAGTGATTAAATCCAATCCCCCCTTTATCGTTTTTATAATTCAATTAATACAAGAATATCACAACTTGATTCACACTCCAGGTGGGTTCGACCCTTACTTGTCACTACTACTAGTTAGTAGAGATTAGTCAAGGAAAAATATAAATTTTAATTTTGCGGCGTTGCGACGCGCGGTCAAGCCCCCTTGTGCTTCAGCGCATGCCTACACTCGTTATTTTATTTATTTATTTTTTTTTAAATTAGTTGTTAAGAGTTTAGTGAACTATATACAATTGTATCAACAAATTTAAAGCATAGAACTTTTGAACAACTTAATTTTTAAAGTTATTTCACTGCTAAGAGGTATTGCAGAAAAAAGGGGGAAAAAAAACAAGAGGAATTTGCACCCCATACCTACATGTTTAATTTTTTTAAGGATTTTAGGCTCCTTTTATTTTAATTTTTAAAATCACCTAAACAAGCTAAAGTTTTATCAATTATACCTAACACACAATGATAACCGTTTTAGTATCTTTATAAGTACTGATGAGATTTATAATTCAATTAATTATCCACTTACCTAAAAAGTTGGAAAAATCAATTTCAAATCATCCCTGCCAAAACCACCCACCCCTACGTCTCTGCAAAACCGCTCCACAACTTCCCCCAAAATTCATCTTCAATGGCCAAAACTAAAATCATCACTCATCCTCCTTGAAAAATTCCAACAAACGGTGGCGACGACTCACCATAGATTAGGTCCAGTGTCCGGCTTTATAAAATCCTCAAACAAAATCATCCAAACTCATTCAAAGATTATATTTGTGGTAACGAATATGCTTCTGAAGGTTGATAGTGGAAAGTTTGATGGTAAAATATTATGCATCACTGGGGGTTCTGCGGGTGGATGTACACAACCCTTGATGCTCTTGCTTTCATGAACATATTCAAAGTTGGTGCATTACTGCATCCTTGTATGGGTGAGTGCTAATTTATCCAATAGTAACCATCAATTAGATTTTTAATTTTTTGTCTTTTAATTTTTTTTTTTTTTTTTT